GCAATACCCATAGATCCCAAAATATGTCCAAGGTATAGTCCTTGACAGAGATATTTCTGGTTGGGCTTTCCCAAATGCTTTGAGATGGAATTGAAAAAGTGTGCAGCCCAGTTTACCTTAGTTTTGGTAATGAGAGAGTTGATGATGAAGGCTCTCTCCTGGGTGATGTCATCGGCATGACCTCCACTTCCACACTCGAGGCAAGCGATGACCAGTTCCAAAACCAACTTGTAATCGTTGTTTAGATCTGCTTTCTTCGCTGGGCCAGAAGGAACTTGTCCAGAGATTCCAATGATGTTCCAGTCCAGATTTTTGACTGGAAATTTCCCAACTTCAACTCCAGAATTGGGAAGGCGAAGCTTTTCTCCCAATTTCTTTTGCGAAAGCTTCATTTTTGTACCTCCAACAGTGGACTTGATGACTGGAAACGTCTTCTGTGGGTTCTTCTTTGAATGAGCAGTTTTGAACTCTCCATTTCTGTAGAATTCAAGAACTTCTTCCTCAAATTTGAGGCGAATCTCCATTTGAAGAAATTCGGAGAGTTCTTGAGCGGCTATCATTTGCAGATGGCTTTGAAAGAATGTCGGTGATGAGCACTTGGCTTCTAACTTCTGGAAGTGGACATTTGCACCGACAACCTTCATTTTCTTAGAAATTTGAGAAAATCTGAAGAAATTAGGGTTCTTGAGAATTTTATCAGAAGATTCTCGTGAAGAAGGCGATGAAAGATTTGAGTGTGCTGAGTGGACAGTTGAGGTCTGATTATAGTGACGATTGGGTTTAATGTGGGCGATTTATGCGGCTAGTGGTGATTGGGTTTTTAACTGTTCCCAATGCCACGTCCCCACCCATCATTTTGACAGACGCGGAAAATGAAATGCCACGTGCACCACACTCAGTCTAATTGAATTAGACCAATTTTGTGAAGCAAATCGGAAAACTTGGCTTCACTTAGTGGTTTGGTGAAGATATCCTCCAGTTGTTCTTCAGTTGAAATATACTCAATTTTGATATCTTTCTTTTCCACGTGATCTCTGATGAAGTGATGCTTGACATCAATGTGCTTAGTGCGAGAATGATGCACTGGATTTTGAGAGATGGCTATGGCACTTTGATTGTCACAAAAGATTGTCACTTCGTTTGTCTTGACTCCATAGTCCAGTAGTTGTTGCTTTAGCCACAAAACTTGAGCACAACAACTACCAGCTGCAATGTACTCTGCTTCTGCTGTTGATGTAGAAATGGAGTTTTGTTTCGTACTGAACCAAGAAACAAGATTTCCACCAATGAATTGACAAGTACCAGATGTACTTTTCCGGTCAACTTTGCATCCGGCAAAGTCAGAATCTGAGTATCCCACTAACTCAAATGAATTGCTCTTAGCATACCACAAACCCATGTTCTGAGTTCCTTTGAGGTATCTAAGAATCCTTTTAGCTGCTATCAGATGACTTTCCTTTGGCTTTGACTGGAATCT